AAGGAAATTCCAGATCGCTCTGCGAGGAACCAGGCGCCTAGCCAAGGTCCCTGTTTTAAAACAAACTTTTCAGCCGACTCTTCTGCACAAGGGCAGTCTTGCAAAAAGCGGTGGCTTTCTTTTCTCTCTCCCCCCCCTCTCCTTTTTCTGGCACTCTGCTCCCAGATGTGTTCAGTGGGCCAAGTCGGGAGGGGGCGGGTGGTGGGAGAATCTGCCTTCCCGGTTTGCTGACCTAAATGCAACCCGCCGCCGCACAAAGGAACGAGCGAGTCACGCCAGCAAGGCGAAGGCACACAAAAGGGAGCTCACCTCCGCTCCGTACATCCTGGATGAAAGGGTCAACGCGGAAAGACACACACACACAAAACGCCTAATGTGGATTAAAGCGAGCGCCTTAATCCACATCCCACTACAGGCAACACTCCATTTCCTACCGGTTTTAATACCTTGTGGACTGCATGCATCCACCCGAGGCAGATCCGTCCCAGATTCACCTACAGAGGAGGAGGGGGGAATCAGGTATTTCATCCCCCCCGGTCTCTTTTCGCATCTCTAAAAAAGCACACACACAAAACTACATACACTTCTCTCACCCACGGCAAGATCCAGATTAAGCTCCAGCCCTCCCTCCGCTTGCCTATACTTGAGAGTAAGTTTTCACCGAACTCCGATTTTAATTTCGAGGGGGCATGTTTAGCAGGGAAAGTTCATTTATTCATTCACACCCAAGGCGAGAGTCAAGCCCGCGCTTCCAACTTTCCTAAGGGCTTCTTCCACCAGAACCGGATCGCGCATCGAGAGAACAAACTTCGGGCCAAGCCACCGGCAAAAACTGAAAAGCGACCCTTTCAACCGAGCATGCCTTCTTTCGACCCGAAGGGAGGGCGAAAGAGCAACGGCAGGCTCATTTTTCCAGCACGTTTGCTCGGGAGAAAACCACGACGCCTTCCGGGGGGGGGGCTCGATTCCCTGCAAGAGCTGACACTTCGGCGCAATGTCCAGGACCGGAGCCTCCGTAGGGGATACAGCTCGTCAGGGGAATTACTTCCAGGTAAAACGCTCAGGTCCAGGGTGATCGCCCCCCCACACACACACACACCTAGCCGGCAGCACTGGCCCGATCGCCTCCCCCGCCTGCGCTACTCACCTCGGCGAAGTGCTCCATTGCGGCGAGGCTCGGAAGCGTCCGGTCCCGAGCAGGGCGCCTTCAGCGAGCGACCATGTGTCTGTCGCCAAGCGGGCGATTCTTATTCCACACCAGGCTGAGGGGCTGCAGTCCGTCACGCCTCCTCTGCCACGGCTGCCATCCCCTCGGCCTCTTCCTCCGGCGCTTGCCCTCGCTCCTCTCCGGCCAAGCGGCCACCCGCGCGGTCATTCAGACGCGCAGCGCCCGCCTTTTGTCTCTCCGCCCCGGACTCTTCACAGCCGGAGCAGGCAGCAGCGGCGGTGGCGGCGGCGGCGGCACCGGCACGAGGAGGGATCCCGGTGCCACATGGCTGCCCGCCCTCGCGAGCCCGCACCAAAGCCGGGGGACTTGGGCAGCTCGAGACTAAAAGCCGGCCGCGAGATCCACGCCGGGCCGAGCGGGGAGAAGGGGGAGGGCGCGGGGAAGTCCAGCGATTAAACCCGGCACGCTGCGGTTTCCCAAAGCCGTGGACTTCCCGCACTTCTCCCTCTTTCTCTCTCTCTGCAGCGGCTGCCGGCGACCCGCTGGGGAGGAGGCGCGCGCAAACGGAGGCGCGCGCGCTCACCTATCCGGCCACGAACGCCCCTTCGCCAGCCTCCCTGCTGTTGCTGCTGCTGCTGCTCCTCCTCCTCAAGGGCTCGGTCGGGCCACGGCGGGCTCCCTCCCAGATTTGCAAATCCCCGCCCTAAAGAGCGCGGTGGAACCAATCCCGGGACAAGCTCCTCTTTGGAATCTTGACCCAGGAGGCGCGCGAGGCTGGGTCTCCTCCCCGCTGCACACCTTTTCTCTCTCTGCTCCTCCCCCCCCCACGTTTTGACTGCAGAAGGCGGGCTCGCGAGGCAGTTTTGCGCTCCGAAGGCAGCCGCGCTTTTTCTCTACCTGCTCTTCCCTCCCGCCATGCTGCGAAACGCCTACCTACCTGCCCGCCTGGTGGTTAATTCCAATAGTAATTCTAATAACGCTAATAATTATTAGAACTACTAGGCGGTAAATCTAATAACGAGATGTTCAGAGGACAGACGAAGAGGCAGGGAAGACGCACCTTCTCTGAGGCAGCTGGTTGGCGGCCAGTCTTTGGCGTGATCCAGGAGGGCTCTTAATGTTTGGAAGCTTCCCGGTGTCTTCCACCGCTAGATCCCATGTTGAAGGTTTTCCTAGTATGGAAGGGAACTGCCCAAGATGCAGCCGGGCACCCTCAGACCAATTTCACTCTTGAGTTCTTCATTGCTTTGCAGTACTTTCCAGCTTTTCTCTGTTGAGTGAAAGGCAGCTATAGCTCCTGCACACATCTGCTTTATTTTCTCCTCCCTGTACAGAAGTGTGTAGGAAATGTACAGCTTGCAGTCACTGCCAGCGGAGGTCACCACAAATTGAGAAAAGTTATAATCAAGGTATGGCGACTGCGAAAAGCAGTCTGAGGGTGGACATGTCCACCAAAGCTCACATTAAAACGTCATAGTTGTAATAGTCTTTAAGATGCCACGTGTTTTTGTATTTGCTTTGTATTTTGCCTCCTATGTGAAAAGCATGTCATTGTTCCAGGAAGAGATTCATTCACATTTTGCAATATGTCAGGGCAGAGAATTTCTTTCAAAGGTCAGGGAAAACAAGGTATATTGTGACCATCCTGCCACTCTGGATGAGACTCATTAAGTGGCTCTGACTCAGACTTCCTGCCAATTACTTGAGGTGTTAATTACCTGAGGTGTTGTAAGAGCCTCAGTCTCTCAAGTAGTCGACAGAACAGCTTGTATGTGTGGCAACCACACAACCTTTTAAATAATAACATTAATCTTAGAATTGCAGAGCAGGAAAGGACCCTATGGATCATAAAGTTGAGCTTCTGTCAAGGAGGGACAGTGGAGAATCAAACTCTCAACCTTTGATTCTGAAGCCAGATACCTTAGACAAGTGCAGGCTGGTCTAGGTGCATGCCTACCATTATTTATTTCTAAGTCAACATAGATTTGAAGTTATAAGTTGAATCTACCAGTTTTTCATAATTGGATCATTGCATAATTTGGGGGGGGGAGTGGGGGAAGTCTGAGGTTTAGCCCTAACTGAACAATAAATCATATGTCATGGAATTCTTCCAGCTTACTGCAAAGTGTGTGGGAACTGAATTTGGTTACTCAGTCGAGAGGAGAGGTACTCTGATGACAGCTGCCCAGAAATTCTGTTATGCATTGGTGTGTGGTGATAATTCTGGAGTGCATCACATGTTCCATTGATCTTATTTAGCATATGATCAGTTGTGTTCTTTTGTAACAGTTGCTTTTCATATATTTTAGGATTCAAGAAATGCAATAACAAGTATATTTGAAGGCTCAAGCATACCACTTGAAATGTAATGCTGGAGTGAACATACCCAGTATAGATAAAAGAGATTCAGGTTCTATAAATTATCTTTTTAAAAGGTGTGATTTCATGTTACTGCTGCAGGAATGAGTGGGTTTAAAAGAATTGCTTACAGGAGTTCAAAAGTCTTAGGCTTATTGAAATCACATCTTACGATGAACTTTTATTGCATGAGCAATAGGATAAGCCTGTCTGAAATTATATTTAGAGGTGCTTGCTGCATGTCAAGACTCAATTTTTCCTCCTTTTTGTGTCAACGGTCAACCATATTGAACCAAAAACCCCAACAGTTTTACTAGATGAGTGCAGTAAATTGTTTTTAGTACCGCATCTGGATAAAGCATTTTCACTGTATATGTCATTTTATTAGCTGTTTTAAACAACATCCAAAAGCAGATACACTTCAAATATGTATAAAACATATCAGCCAGTCTGCACTGCTGTCTGCCAATACCAGAGCATATTGAAGCAGTCAGAAATGTAGCAACATGCCTCATTTGATTTTACAGTTGGCTCTAATTTTCTTTCCCTGAATTTCATAGCAAGCAACATTATATGGAACCAACAAACATTCACCACAGTATAACTATTGTATTTTCTCCTGTTTTTTCATTTTTCCAATCAAAACTGGATTGTATTGAAATATGACTATGAATAAGATGATAGAATAAGATGATAAAAAATGGGATGATACCACTTTAGACTGCTGGTAGGAAATATGGTTTTGAATGTTCTCCATGTAAAAAGAAGGAAAATAAAGAGGTAGCACTTTCTATTGTGCTAATTTTCTGCTCAGTAGTGGGGTGTCTACAGAGAGTTAGCATTCAAAAATTACATCCTAGGGTGGAGCAAAAAAAGTGTGGCCTACAGGTTGTGTGCATCCCTCAGTGCCCCAAATGCAAACAGCAGCTACTCAACCTCTTTCCAACCATTCCCAATTTTTTCTCACATTGCCCTAAGAAGTACTGTTGTGCCCTCTGGGAATATTTTTCAGCCCCTAAGATCCCTGGGCACCCAGCGTCCATGATGTATTTATAATAATCATTATTATTGTAGTCATTTGGAAGGAAATTTTTCAGAAGGGGGGTAAATCTATTTTGAAAGATGGGGGAGACACAGGAGTGGGTAAGATAAAGGTAAAGGTTCCCCTTCACAAATGTTCAGTCATGTCCGACTCTAGGGGGTGGTGCTCATCCCCATTTCCAAGCTGTAGAGTCAGTGTTTGTCTGTAGACAGTTTCCGTAGTCACATGACCAGCACAACTAGACACAGAACACTATTACCTTCCCACCGAGGTGGTACCTATTTATCTACTCACATTTGCGTACTTTCAAACTGATAGGTTGGCAGGAGCTGGGACAAGCAACGGGAGCTCACTCCATTGCGTGGATTCGATCTTATGGCTGCTGGTCTTCTGACCTTGCAGTTCAGAGGCTTCTGCAGTTTAACCAAATTCTGGTGGTGGGCATGTGCACCTGTCAGACCCCTGGAGGTTGCACAGGCTTGGCCTACAATCTAAAATGGGAATGTCTGTTATATCATCAGATGCCGCTACATGTGTCAACCAGCAGTGACAGATGGGAACTAGTTAAAGCATCTAATGATCAGGGATGGCTTGATTTTTAGCCAAATTGGGGTAGTTACCTCAGACAGTGGAACTCTGGGGGAAGTGGCAGAGCCTCTGATACCTGAGCCAGTCACTGCCATTGCCACTACTCTCTGTTTCCTTGCTGAGAATGCTTGGGGTCGAGACATTATTCCTAGAACTGATTAAAGAACTTCTGGGTTACGGAGGCATAGCAGTGCAGAGAAAGGCGCCAGTATCAGCATTGCTCTCCCTGCTTCCACTCCTGGTGAGTATTGTGGGGCTAGGGGGCAGCATAGGGTACATGGTTGCAGTGCTTCTCTTCTAGCCCCAGGCAGCGGGAGAGCTTATGTAGCACTGGTAACAACATTTCTCAGAGAGATCTGCTATAGAAGTACAGTATCAGGGTTTCTGACTCCCAATTTTTTATCAACAGGATCTGCAAAATGATTCTCCCCCCGCATATTTAGTTAAATTATCTAGGCAACTGAAATGAAGAAAGTATGTGATAATTAGAGCAGACTTTTTCTGTCAATGGATTGGGAGTGTTTTTCAAGTACAATAGCGAAAGAAAATTCTTGGGCTTAGAATCTGCCCTCTTCTACGTGCATATCTTTTGCACTTGGCCCCAACTGATAGATTTTAGTGTTTTCATTTTTATTTTAAAGGTAGACAAAACAACCAACTTGTACGTAGCCTGCCCACCCTTGTTTTACAGTCCTACTTTGCACCCAGAAGGTCACTAGAAATTGATTTCACATGGCAGTCTCAAAGAGCAGTTAAAAAATCACTCCGGAGGGCAATAAAAAGGGATTAAAAGAAACACACAAGATAAATGATGGAGGGAGGGAACAGCTTGGGACTCCTGACCACTGATTGTCATTTAATTTCATTTTTGTTTCAGTTCTTTATAATCTAGTTCTGTGCAGGCTGCACATTTTAAAGGAAAATAATCCTGCTGGAACCAGTTTGACTTGTGAGCACACCCCTGTGTTTCAGACTGAAATAATTCAATGTGAACTTATACACCACTGTTAAGTAAAGATATAAGCAAACTGAAGCAAATACAGTGGACCCTCAACTTACAGACGGCTCGACTTACAGCATTTTCGAGTTACAGACTTCTCTGGCCGCAAAATTTAGATTCGACTTGCAGCCGGAGAATCGACCTACAGACCAGAAAAAAACACAAAATGGAACAAAAATAGAACAAAAACGGCCGGTTATGGGATTAATCAGTTTTCAATGCATTGTAGGTCAATGGAGACTCAACCTACAGACTTTTCGACCTGCAGCCACCGTTCCAATCTTGATTAATTCCATAAGTAGAGGGTCCACTGTAAAAGAATTGTTTTTAGTGAGAGTGGGCAGGCCCAGCCTTACCAATAGGCAAAGATTGAGGTGGTCACTTCAGGCTGCCCACTTTGAGTGTCATGAAAGGACGGCTGCATCTTAAGTGTTTGATTTGTATATATTGCCCTATAATTTTTGTCAGTTATAGAGAGTGTATAATTCCCCTGCTGCAGCAGCTTCATTGGTTACTGATCCAGTTCCAGGCTGAGTTCAAAATGCTGCCTGTGACCTTTAAAGCCCTACACAGCTTGAATCCAGGCTGTCTGAAAGGCCATGCCAGAGCTTTGCAATCAGTGGCAAAGACCCTCTTGTTAGTCCTGCCACCTCCAGAGATCTGCTTGCTGAGGATGCAGAAGAAGACCTTTTCAGTGGCTGCTCCCACACTATGGAACACCTTGCTTCTCGATGTCTTTC